AAGAGAAATCAGATTCCTTTTCCATTTAATTTCCATTTGCCCAGCTCTAAGGGCTGGGCGGGCTTTCGTGGCACTGCTGTTCACAAAGGCAGGGCTCTATAAACAATCGCTGTCTTCTCTCGTCCTTGGTGAAAGGGATCTAAGTGGAAGACCCTTAGATACTCACTGAAGCTGTGGTACAGCACATTGCCCTGTCCAAAGCCTTCTTCCACCTTGATGAGCTGCAGCTTCATGCGAGGGCCAATCTGGATAGGGAGAAGACGCAGCAAACCAATCAGGGAACAGAAACGCAGATACATCCTCAGGCAGACAACAGAGCTGCCTGCAGAAATCTAGGAAATATTATGGCCGATCCACTTCCAGAGAGATGGACCAGAGTGTCTGAGATGGTGGCAACAGAAGCGAGGTATTTTTCCATTGCGTTGGCCAAGCCTTGTTCTGCACCCCTTACACCCACCACCACCACCTCCTCACGAGCAAGTACAGGGGCCTGCGACTGACCTCGGTGAGGCGTACTGCACTCTGTTCAGATTTCATGTTCCCACGGCCTGCGTAAGCCTGAGGCAGCTCTGTGATGTTGTGACTGCCGTCTTGCTCAGCTTCACTCTCGGAGAGGGCAACATCTCTGTTCAGTGGGAAGAGAAGCAAGATACTATTGATCTTTTCTTTACCATGATATCATATGTAACACAGAACAAGAGACACAAGGCATACTTCATGTTTAAAAGAGAAAGGCAGAGGAGTGGAAGAGAACGAAAGAGTGGGCAGAAAGAGAGAAAGAGAGAGAGAGAAACAACAACAGAAAGTAAAATAAGAGACGTCTGGGGTCAAGAGAAGTTTCAGCAGAATAGAAAAAGGGAAGGAATGTAAGGAACAGGAGACAGGAGTCACAGGCTTATGGAACAGGGGATGACGTTCATGTTGCAGCCTCCCCTTTCCTCCCTACTCAGTAGTCACTACCCCCCCTTAGCCCCACTGAGAATCAACCATCCTCATTCAAGTACCCAGGAGGAACCCGGCCTTAACCCAAAGCAACTCCCTTACTTGACCAGCAGCTCACTGATGTCCTGAAGGCGGTTCATGTTGGGAAACTTCTCCTGCAGGAACTTCTTTAACCCTTTACTCATCCCTACAGGTACCACTTTCAAACTGCTGCAAAACACCAGAGGGGGGGGGAAGGGTGTCTGTGAGGATTCAGGCAGACAGGTATGTCAACGCTACTGGAAGAGGGAGGGACCTCTGGACTAGAACAGATGCTTTCCATGCCTGGGGTCCCAAATACAACATCAGCCTCCAGGATTCTCAGGTAACAGAGCTAAAGACCGTCAACAGTGGCCCAACTCAGTACACGGCAGCTTTATAGGAAAGCAGCCTTGAGAGCAAAATAAGGTGACCATGAGGTAGAGGAGATGTTTTTAGCCTCTTGCCCCTCTCTAGGTGATATCTCCTTGATCCTATGCAAGCAGAAATG